TGCAACCCCCTTTTTATTAAAAAAACCAGTCAACCTTTAATGGGCCATCAGATTTTGATGGTCCAAAATACCACACCCCTATATTATAACAATGCACCTCCTTTTTATAACTTGAAATTGATTTTTTAAATGATCCCAAAATCTTTAATGGGCCATCAGATTTTGATGGTCCATTTTGAAATAATACACCCTTCTTATGAATTTAAACCCCCCATAAAATAATATTCAAAACAAGTAATTTTAAACATCATGACTATTAAATTAGGAACATAGTAATAATACGACTATTGGATTGATAGGGCGAATTTGGGGTATGACACCCGCTAAGTGCGGTCTGTTGAGATTTGTTTTATAACAACAAATTTAGTTCATTTTTAGGTTATGATTTTGGGGAAATTTTTGTTCCCAACTCCAACAACCTTTAATTTTGTTAGGATTAGCTTAGAAAACAACACTAGCGCTTTGTTTATGGATGATTGGAGGTGGATTTCTCATCGACCGGTGCTGACAAACAAAAAGATTTGTGGTTTATCTCTTCTCCTCTCTTTGTATTTCTCTTTTTTTTAGTATTGTATGTATATTTACTTTGAAATCATGTATATTTCTCGCCCTTGACGTTATATAAAATTTGCTTTATAAATCTTTGTCGGTGGCTATCCTTGATCCTTGGTACCTCTTCGTAATTCTTCCAATAACAAAGTCACTCTATCAAATGTATTCTTCCCCATGGTACTAAGATTGTCTCATTTGATCCACTACTGAGAAAGTTATGGACTCAAGAAATGGCGAAGATGAAGTTGAACATTCGAAACTTAACTTAGTAAAAGGCTGTGTGCTCCGGTTTTTTTTTATACTGCCACTTTGTGGACATTTTTGAGAGTCTTGGAGCTATTTTCTTGACGCGATACCAACACCAAGTTTGGTCATCCTTGTCTCTTCTTTCAATTGAACCCATTCTCGTCTTAAACGGATCCTTACTCACTAAGATACATGCCTGTAAAGATGGCCATGAGCATTAACTTCATAATTTGGCCACGTGTCACGCTATACTGAATTTTTTAGCGAGCTGTTGATGTCAGAATTTGCAGTTGTATATCACACATCTCGCTTTACTACATATGGCCATGCAAGTGTACCATGCATAGGAGTGAATTTAGAAAAAGTTACCACAAATAGAAGAGGCTATCACTGTGAGCTAAGTTGTTATCACCACAACTATCCTACTCCCTCCACCACCTGATAAAATAAACCACAACCATAATAGAATCGGTGAGAGGTTCATAGAGAACGCTCACTCATGCGTTCATCCATCATCGCCTTTAACCTCTTTCTTCACTCTCACCTTTAACAATCCGTAACAAACCTTCACTCTCACCTTTTTTTCAACCATCACCATCGTAACAAACTCTCTCTTCTCTATTCTTCTACAACCTTATTCTCTATCTTTCACTTCCATCATCTTCAACCTCTCGATTCTCTCACTTCAGCCACCAGAACCAACTCCTCCTCCCTCTTATCTTCTTCGATCAAGCTTTGATTCAACCTCCTCTTCACGACACTTAGGTATATTCTTGAAACTAGTTTGAATGATGCATCTAATTGAATTTGAGTTTCAATTGAGTTTCATGTAATTGTGATTTGAATGGAAGCTTTGAATTAGGAACTGTATTGGAGAGAGTTGTGAATTTAACTGTGGATATTGTTTAATTACCAATAATGGAAGTTAGGCTTAGATTGTCTTATTGATTCTAGGGGAAGAAGATTTTGCATATTAGGTGTTTGTGCTAATGTCTAAGAGAAGCATTTTTGGATTCGTGGATATAATTTGAGTTGTTGTTTGTGAACCTTAGGCATCCTTGAAATTGATAATTTGATTTAAGCATTATGTTGGTAGAATTAGATTAGAATTGAATTCAAGAATAGCATAATTGAATTGTTGAAGTTTTGAATCCAAGCCTTGAATGAGATGATAAGAGGTGTTGTTAATTGTTGTTGAACATAATTCAAGCGTTGTAGAAAACTCATGAGTTAGAGATTTGAATGTAACTTTGAGTTTGAATCATGAACAAGGTTGGCATTGGTTAGTGAATATTGGAAGTTATTGCATTACTTGAATATAGCATAATCAAGTTAATTCCAATTACGTTGATTGTTGATTCTCTCCAAATTGTTGGCATATGTTGAGGGTTTAAAATTAGTTTTAAGATCTCTCTTAACTTGCATAGAGTTGTTGACATAAAAGTGCATTTTACATCAAAAGCACAACAACTCCATTACAAGTTATTTTAGCAATTTGAAATGTGGTTTGGAATGTTTCATAACTTTCCGATTCAAGTTTTATGTCAATTATTACATACATACATTGCAGCCCCCTGATGTTGTACTTGAATTACATGCTTGACACCAGTTTGAACATGTAATTCGGATAAAAATCACTTTTCAAGCCATAAACCGGATTTGTCAAACTTGTGAAAATTATGTGATTGATTGTAGAATATCATTGCAAGCCTCGTGTTGAGTTAATTCCTAGTTTGTGTAACCTTAAAAAACTATGTTTAAATACAAAAATACACAAAATTGGACATTAACTCAACATTTGCAAGTTGCGTATTTTCACTTGTTTTGTCCAATTTTGAATACAAACTCATTTGAAGCCTTACCAGTAGCACTCGGAATTCACATGTCGCATGTTTATATACCATTTGAAACTGATTTCCACGCTTTTGGATCGAAGTTCCGGCTGTTTAGACCACTTTACCGCAGTTCTTCTCTGCATTGTAAAATGGCCTAAACAAGACACCTACGCTTGGAATTAAATCACAGGACCTATTTTTCTGAAATAGTTGGCCCATTTTCAAGCTACTAAGTGGGTTTCATTCGATTTCGGGCATTTTTTTTACCGCATTTCAAACTAACTATGTGTGGAAGTCATGCTTCCACTGTGTTTTTGACAAAACCGATTGTAGATTTGGATTCATGGGCACGTTTATAGGTTACCATGAAAATATCATTTCATTCCGAGAATATTTGTTTGGATGCCTATTTTGTAGAAAACGCGACTTATACCGTTAATGCGGAATTTTTAGTACAACAATAGTGCAGTTTTTCTCACTTATTAGTGCACAGTATCAATACTATGATTGTCATTTGATACATGATTACTTGTTGCATTTCATTTGTTGATTATCAGATTGGTTTTCATGCGGTTTCTATACTGTCTGTCTTGTTATTTTTGACGTGTTTGTTCATTGTGCAAGTTACGTTGTGACGCTTTCAATCATGTAATATAACAATTGTTACGTGATCGAACATGTGGCTTATGCTCGCTTCCGATGTGACATGCCTTATTTCTCATCTTCATGAGAAATTCATATTATTTCACACTGTGTTACCTATTGCCTGGATATGTATGATGCTTTGTGATACTCTGTGCATGAACTTCCGCTTATGTAGTGCATTCATGGCATGCATTTGTGTTCATCTTAGTTAGACATTGTTTCTAACTTTTTTTGTTTCTTGGTGAAGCTTGCTCGACTTATTCCTTGCTTCTCCATTGCTTTCGTCTGCTTATTGGCGAACTTGCGTTCGCTTGGTAGCTACTGTTGCTTTTACCTTTCGTGCCTTTACCGTATTCTTTATCACTTTCATTGCCATGAGAAGTAGGATAGAGATGTATAACGGGGGTCTCCGTTACTGATCATGTCAAGAACTCCTCTGGTTTATTTAAAGACCCGTTTAGGGCAATTTCGTGTTTTGTGCCATTATTTTCTAATTGTGTTTGTGTTTGTTTTCATGGGTGGACGATTGATGATGTCACTCAATTAGAATTGAGAAAACGACTTTGATCTTTGCATGCTCCTCTTAGGATTTTCATTTTCCTTTGTTGACGATCGATGATGTCACTCAATTAGAATTGAGAAAACGACTTCGATCTTTGCATGCTCCCTTAGGACTTTATTGTTTTCCTTTGTTAATGATCGATGATGTCACTCAATTAAAATTGAGATAACAACTTTGATCTTTACATGTTCCCTTGGGCTTTGAATCGTTGTACGTTCCCTTAGGATCGCTCGATTAAGATCGCTTTCGAGCTAGACATTAGGATAGGTATCCATGCATGCTAACATAGTTAGGATTTCCCTTTCAAACTCAACCTTAGGATCAATCATTGTATGATAACATTAGGGATTAGATTTAGGTTAGCCTTCCTTAGATGTTTTTCTTTCTTTTGCATCCGTAAAACTAAAACATTTTTCTTGGCAAATTCATAAAACATCTTACAACTCTCAAATCCTTTTTCAAGGTAAAAAACATCAACTAATGCAAACTCTTATCGTCTTCGGGCCTTTCTTTAAAACTTCAAAAGGATGTGTTAATTCTAATATATACAACACGGCGCGTAAATCTCCAAAGGTCGTGTGGCACTGTCTAAATTTCTAGAGCATGAATGTAGCATTATCCGCCTTCGGGCATTTTTCTTTGCAAATACCTTGTTAGGTTGAACATGTTAATTCACTTAGGCGAAATTAATATTCATTAAAAACACAAAACAAACTGAAACATGTGAGTCGAACTACATCACTTTGATTCCTTAAAAAGGATACATAGGCATCTGGTCACGGGGCTCAGCCGAGTGAAACTTTGTAAATATTTCCTTCTTTCCCCCGTGTTTTCTTTTGCATGCATTCCCTCTTTGCATTTTTCTTCTTAGCTATTAAGCTTATATTTGAACACACCCTTTGATTAGAACAACAAGAGTGAATATCATAGAGTACTACGGGGCGTGTGGGGGGTGCTAATACCTTCCTCTCGCGTAATCGACTCCCTTACCCGATCTCTTGATCGCTTGATCATGATTTCATCCTTCTCAGGTTTACTCGATGTCTATCTTTCCCTTCATGTGGGATAAAAAAACGTTCGATGACGACTTCATTGATTTTATCTCGAAGATTTGTTCAGCCGGTTGTTTCATACACCAACAACTCAAACAAGTCAGACCAATGCTACTCATGCTTCATCATCTCAGGCCAATGCAAGTCAGATAACATCAAATTCAACATAAGTAACTTCTACTGAGGCTTTATCATCTCAAACTAATGCAAATCAGGTAGCAACAACACATGCTTCAGCAACTCAAGGATACATGAATGTAACTCAGTATTCTCAAGAAAAGGCAATATTAGGAGGGAAAGGCATAAGAGAAAAGGCAAAAGGAACTGGCGATCCATATAAACTTGATGTAAGAAGGCCCTTTGTATCCCTAGGACCAACAACAAGATTATATGCATCCAAGAATATGGTTGGTCCTACCGTCAGGAGGTCTACTCCAACCAAGAGAATCACACCAAAGAGAACCATATAGTCATATTTAGGCCTTATTTAGTTTATGCTATTAGCATGTCAATGTAACATTTTGGTATTATGTACTGTATTTTGAACATGTCTATGTAACATGTCAATGCATTTTGAAACCTTTATGGAAATATGTCTATTTCTTTCAACAATATCAATTAATGTCATTTTATGTTAATGTTTAAGTAATTTGATATGTTGCATTGTCGTTTCATTATCTTGTGTCATTTTGGATATGAAAATTGATGTGTTTATCGCCATGGAAAAAATGATATGCCAAAAATTATGTTTCTACAAACAATGATATGCCAAAAAATAGAAATCATATTAAGCTAATAAACTTTGTTACAAATACACATAACATTACACATAACATCTGATACTCCTAAAACAACTTAAAAAAACATAGACATTGTTAAAAGATGCCAACTTGCCTAGAGGGGAGTGAATAGCACTAAGCCAAAATACCAAATAAAATTTGGGTTTTAAAAATTAATTGAAAAGAGTTCAAGCGGAAGGTTTTTAATATAGATCGAATATGTCGTCTATATGAACCTAGTTACTGGAACTCGAATATGCAATATAGCCTTATGGAATAAACAACATAATAAACTTAATTTATTCACTTTAATCAAGTAACACAATATTATTCGTTTATAGCAAGTTACTAGCAATATTATTTCCAATAATAACAAGCAAAAATAGTGAACTATGCAATTTGTCAAACACTTGGTGTACGCACGAATTTTCAAAATTTTCCTTGAGTTGTGTTGATATGAAAAAGAACTTATAATAAAAGTGATTATAAGCTAATCAACAACCAATTCAAAACAAAAATAGTCACAGAAAAATTCTTACGAGTCGATCGATTAAACAATGTTATTTGACAAATTACTTAATGAAAGATAAAACAAGTAAATAGATAAGAGAGAGCGACACGAGTATTTGTTTTGGAAGTTCTCCAATCATCCTCATTGTGGCTACGTCTCCCCCCAATTCCAATTTTGGAATTAGGATAAAATCTTATTATGCAAAATGTGATTACAAGAGAAGTGTTCCAAGAGCAACCCTACAAACACAATCGTTTGATGTTGATTCAACCCCTTCTCTTCTTTTGATCTTGAGGAATACCAAGAAACAATAGCTACCAATTGATTTATCGAATCTTTCTACTCCTTTGGGTACCAAACTCCAAAGCTCTTTCACGCACGATAAATTGTACCTATTGATCATGACACCTTTCAATTTGATTAGTATTTCTCTCACTACTTCCTTGGTGTTATACCCCAATTTTTTCCCCTAAGATCCCTCGTTATACTCTGTACATCTCACACATAGCATTGGTCTCATGGTTATAAGATCGAAAGTATTTGGCATTAGGGTTTCTCTCTATGAATTGAGGTTGTCGTCTTACTCAAAATTGATTCAGCTGGTGCTCTCATTATTCTTGGTATGAGATTAGGTTTTTGGGATCTCAAGCAGCATAGATGTCTTTGCTATCAGGTTCCCTTAAGATACAAATTTTTCTTCATCAGAGTTCTTTCAAGGAACAAAGGCATTATGGTTTAACTCAGCCAGAGAATCAAGATTTCTCTTCATTTTTTATTTGAGCTTGGTAGGGATTCTTCTATGTAGGTTTATTGAATTAATGTCTTACTTCAAGGCTACATTGAGCACTACTCTTCCCTTGTAATTCTATTTTTTACATGGTTAAGGATTGATTGAAGATTTCATAAAGATGATTCTTGGTGCTTAAGCTGTGAATTAAGGTAGGATTACTTCCTGAATTCTGATTAAATTGAAGATCCAGATTAAGGGTTTCCTTAGAGCTGATTGGAAGATTCGTTCAAGAAATTTCTTTAAGCCCAGATTAATTCAAGAAAATTTATATAATGGTTTGCGTGGAGTTCAAAGTTGGTGATTCAAATATCATTCAAAGTCAATGCGAATCCAAGTTCGTCTTATGAGAATTTCTTTAAAGGAGAATTATTTGAAGCTTAGGACATTTCTCATTTATTCCGATTCTATTCAAATCCCTTTCGAGTGAATATTTTGGCGTAATTTGTCAAATGGATTTATATTGTAAATATGGAAGTTTGATTCATTAGTATCCTTAAATCATTACAAGTGTAAATACTCAAAAAAAAGAGAGAGAGAAGGAATTGCAATACAAAGTTTCTCTTAAAAGGCCAAAAACCATTTCAATACACAAAAAGAAAAAGATATTGATAGTTCTTACATGGAGATCAAATTAAAGAAGATTGAAATTCCAAGTTCATGCTGAAAGAAGAAGGTTGAATATTATGGAGTGTCAGCAATTAAATTCAAGAAAGTACAAAAGACTTGGTTCCATTGCTATTACAAATTTTGTCCCAAATATCCATTCAAGCTTCAAAGCATAGTCCATTACAGGAAGAAAAATGCAAAGAAAAAAATACTACTACAAAACCTAGTCCTAGTTTCCAAGTTGTTCAACTCCAATTTTACTTTAGCCTAAGCTTCGCGCCATGTCCAAGGTTCAAATATTGCATCAAGGTGGAAGCAAGCTTGCTGCTGCCCATTCAATTAACAGTCATGCCGTCATAAGAAAAAAGAAAGAAGCGGATCAAGGAGAGTTAAGCTGGAAGTTAGTAGAACAAAACAAAAAAAAAACAGAGGGAATTAGCCATAAACTACGATAGAAAATACGATTCTATGCCTGTCAATACAAAACACGTTTTCTATTAGTCAAATTCCTACATCAGCATCCCAAACAGTTAAATTGGAGGAGACATGTTCATAATCAAAGGATACCAGTTTCATAACAGCTTTTGGTGCAGTAGTTTGATAACGGAAAAATGATTATTAAAAGGCTTTGAAACTCAGAAAAATCAGGAATTGTAAAAATAGAATAAGATTCAAGTTTAATTCTCATCTTGGCTTGTCAAGAAAAACATGTCAGAAGGTTCTAACAGCTCTAGCAGACCGGGAAACTTTCTAATCAAATTCATTTCTACTCCCTAACTAACGAACGAACGCGATAACAGAATGGCTAGAGGTTTTGTAACAGAATTAGGAACGGTTAACAGTTTTGCAACAAAATTGGGAACGGTTAACAGTTTTGTAACAGAATTGGGAATGACTAATAGCTTTGTAATAGAAGAGGGGATGGAGAATCATTATTTAATAGAGAAAAATTCATAGATAGGATGGATTCATTGAGAGCATACAGAAAAACTCAGAATAAAGAAACAGATAATCACCTCTCAACCTCACTCTCTCTATCTCTTCCTTCAACCATTTTTTATTTCATAATTTTTCCCTGGAATTTTCACTTGATTCTTTATCATCATCAATTATGCAACTTTCTTCTCGACGTCAACCTTGCTTCAATCATTATCATTCAGCAATCATCCCTCAACATCCAGAGTCGGTGAATCGACGTCATCACCATCATTCAATTTCTGAATTCGATGTAGCTTCAACAGCAAAACCTGCAACTGCAATAATAACAATAAATACTCAGTGTCAAACGGAAGAAATAGCAAAGAAGAAAGAACGCAAAAGTAAAAGGAAGAATACGTTATCCGAACCACGCACAGAGACAAAGAAGAAGGATCAGAATCAGATAGGTGAAAAGAATATACACCTGTACATCGAGACTTTCGCCAGAAGGGGATTTCTTCACCGTTGTTGCTGTGAGGTAAGACTGATTTGTTTGCACTCATTTCGTTCTTGGTAATATTGTGTAGAGTGAGGCCTCACGAACACTTCCCCCAAGGCGCCATGGCCGGATGTTGCTCAAGGAGTATTCAATTTTGATTTTTGTAAATCCTAGGGTTTTCTATCATGATTGGTTAGGGTGAAGAACTAAGGGAAGTGAGGTGGAGTTTGGAGGTTTTGGAATCCAGATAAAAGTCATGGCTGTCTGGATTTTGATTTCTGAACACCGACCGTCGTGACTCAGGGAAGCGATAGGTTACGACATAGGTGAGAATATGAAGAAGAAAGCACTGTAGGGTTATGAGAGGAAGAAGGTTTCATTTCTTCTTGGGAAGATGATGAGTCACAAGACTTAATCAATATGATGCATAAAACGCTGTCGTTTGGTTTTTTTTTTCATTATATTTTTTGTCCAGTTGATAATGTGATGTATTAATTGTTGAATCACGAGGCTTAAAATGGTGATAAAATGGTGTTGTACCTTGGGCTCATGCGCTAAATTGCCTCCTACAAGCCCATGTCCCTTTTTACCGAAGAGCTATTAGAACAAAAATGCATGCTCATGGACTTTGTTTGGCTGGGCCCAACGCCTGGTTACTACTACACCCCCTGGACTCTGCACCACACTTCCTTAATTCTTCTAATTTCTTGTTTTGTTTTAGTTTTCTTTTTGCTTAAATTTTTTGTAATAAAAAAATATAATAAAACAAATATATATATATATATATATATATATATATATATATATATATATATATATATATATATATATATATATATATATATATATATATATATATATATATATATATATATATATATATATATATATATATATATATATATATATATATATATATATATATATATATATATATATATATATATATATATATATATATATATAGATTTTAGGAATGTTTTTTAATTAATAGACTATAAAAAAAAAATTTGTTAGATTTCTCTTTTGATTTTTAGGAAACTAATTCTTAATTTTTTCGATTACTTGAGATTTGTGATTCATCTTAGCTTGTTGAGCTGAGTCTTATGCAGGTTCATTATTTGATATGCGGATGTGTTTTGGATTCCTATTGTGATTTATTTTTCACATCGATGAAGCTTCGACACCTATTCCAAATATTCAATCTCTGACTGTTTGCTTGTTGATGCCAGCTCGCGCGAAGCATTTTGAGTCTCTCTCCTTTGGTTGCGCTTTTTGCGGACTTTATTGTTCATTTGGTATTATATTGCTTCCAAGTTATACTTTCGCATTTATTGCTTTCAAGATATCATGAGAAGTAGGAAATAAAGAGCGTGCGCTCGAATTCGCTGTTTAAAGACCTGTAGCAGGCATTCCGAACTTCATTTCTTATATGTGTTGTGCTTGTGTTTGTTCCCTTTCTTGTTGATAGATGAGTCACTCAATTTAGAAATTGAGATCACGAGTTCGCTCTCAGTGCATGCTCCATATAGGATTTTATCGCTTTCCTTTATTTCTTGTTGATCGATGAGTCACTCCATTTAGAAGTTGAGATCACGACTTCGCTCTCAGTGCATGTTCCCTATAGGATAGTTTGTTAGACTTTATTTGGCATGCTAACTTAGATAGGATCCCTCATTGTATGATAACATTAGGTTAGAAATAGGTTAGTCTCCTTTGGATGTTTTCTTCCCATTTTTGCATAGTTGCACTTAGAACCAAAACTTCTTTTTCTTGGCAAATGAATAAAAAATGCTAATTGTTGTACCCCAAAATTTGCCCTCCCATTTCCTCAACATTTTCTCATCACAAGACCTTTGAAGATCAAGATCCAATTAGGGTTCTCTCTGCTCAAGACTTCTCCTTGCACTGTGGACTCAAATTAGGGTTTGTGTTTGCCCAAGGATGTTTTGACCTAAAATGCCTAAGATGACTTTCATGCTTCATATTGGACCCCCAAGTTTACCCATGCCAAGTTTCAAGTCTTGATTCCAAGTTTTACCCAGTCAATTGGACAGTTGACCTAGAAATCAGCTGTATTGGGGAAAAAGTCAACTGTGGCCAATTGACAGTCAAACCTCATGAAATTTGATCCACATCAACATTATGAACTCATATGGACCATTTGATCAAGTTTGGATCACAATTCCACAAGAAATTTGATCAGATCACCAAAAGGGCAAAATGGTCATTTTTAGGGTTTTGACTGCACAAAGGCAATTTTTGACTGTTTGACCTAGCCAATGGCAAACCAAGCTCATATATGGACTCAAGGACCCCATGGAATTATCTTGACACATTCATCAAGCTCAAAAGATCCCAAGTACACAAGATTGACAGTTGAATTTCCCAGTCAATTGATCAATTTTGACTGTATACTGAAAAGTCAAACTTTGACTTTTTGGTCAAAATCAAGAGTCAAGATTCATTTTTCACCAAAACATGCCAAATCATGAAACTTGTTTACCAAGAAATCACAAAATGCAAATTAGGGTTAGAAAATGGAATTTTTCATAACTTAGAATTTTTCTAAGTTATGGAAAACCCTAATTTGTTCCCAACTTTGCCCCATCTTTTCACCATGATCCATTGGGATTCAAACAAAAGTCAAAACATGAAAGTTGTAGCTTGTTGCATAGTCTACAACTTTGATTCACAAAGTTTTCTCATTTGAAGCTTGTATCTCAAGTTATAATTTTTTGAATAAGGGCACTAAACCATCTTTTAACTTAGTGAAATTTGACCTATTTTGACAAGGTTTTCTACCCTACTTCAAGGCCACTTTTCATACCCTTCCACTTGGAATTTTGATTTGCATTTCAAAGATGGATTATAGTACACATTCCAAGCTTTCCAAAATGTCCAAGAAATCATCAAACAACCTCATAACTTGAGAGATTCGAATTTCACAAGTTGGCAAAAATTCACTTTTGTTCTTCATCAAGACATGTTCATAATCTTGCCAATTTGAAATCAGTTTGCTTTATGCTTGATTACAGGTTCTTGAACCATTTCATACTCAATAATTTAATGCATATTCAATGTGTTAAGGTCATGTTCTTTGTGTTCTAACATTGCATAATGGTTTAATCCTAAACCAGATAAAGTGAAATTTCCATTTTTGAAAAGTTTAGCTTTATGTCAAGTTTGTAATCCAACAAGTACATGAAAGATCTGCTTTGCACAAGATTATGTGCATAACACACTGATCAAGGGAGGCTTATGCAGCACATTAGGAGGCCCCCTACTAACCTAAAACAACCAACTTGCTTTTGTTGCTTAAGATAGAAGAAAAGTCCATAACTTATGCTATCTCTCATCTCAGCTTACATACACAACACAAAAGCTATCAAACACATTCCATAGACCAAATCCAAGCTAACACACGAGCCCTTGCCATCTGAAACACTCCCATTGCTCTAATCACCTCAAAACTGCACAAACAGGGGAGCCCCTGCAGTTTGAGTGCAAACTCCCAATCCCTTCGAGCATTTTGATCCAAACCTTTTCCTCTACCTTCCCTACAACATATGCAAGCTAACCATGTCCTAAAATCAGACCTGTAACACCTCCAAGCCACTTCACCATTTTTAATTTTCTGTTTTGCAGTTGGAGTTCATTAGCTCGATTCAGGGAGTTTCAAGACAAAGTAGGAATTGGAAAAGCTCCCTTACACTTCAAGGAAGCTGTACAAGTCATCATTTCACTCTGAAACATCCTCCATTGCCAAGCTCGATTCCAACTGAACAGGTATATTCATGGAGTTCCATCTCTCTTATTAGGCATTGTTAGCTTTAGGTTTTTGAAGAAAACATGTCACAATCATAGCCCTGAACATGCTCATATGATTAGATTTCATTTATGTTTCGTGTGCTTAGAGAATTTCATGTCTGAACATTGATGAAAAGTTAGGTCAGAAATTGGGGGAGGAGAAATTCTCCCTCATCTTAGAGAGATAGGTCAAGTTATTTATATGGTTGAAACCGTCTCTTCATGCTGAACATTTCTTGTGTTATGAGTTTTTGCTGAAAAGCCAAGAATCAGGAGTTAGACATTGAGGAACAGGGGCGCGCGTTTTTCAAATGTTTGAAGCTGGAGGTTGAAGACAATGATCAGTGGGCTGGGCCTGTGTTGTTTCACTTTTCACACCACCCTTTTTGATTCACACCCCCCTGAGCCCATTTGTTCATTTCTTAACATTTTTGACTTTTTCTTTTTTGATTAACTTTGTTTATTTTTTCTCATGGCATTTAAAAATTAAAAATATTTTTTCCATCATTTTTTGCATTTATTGCATATTTATTTGTTTATTTTCTTTGTTTGTACATAAATATATATATACCATTATTAGAATAAAATAGAAAAATGGTGTAAATACATTTTTATTTTTATTTACTTTCTGAAAATATTCCACACAAAAAATACTCTTTTATTTATTTTATTAAAATATTAAATAAATATTTATTTTGTGTATAATACATATTTAGGGTTTAATATATATATATGTGATTATTAATATATTTAAGACAAAATATAAAAATACTTGATTTTTTTTATTTTTATTAATATTTGATATAAAAATACCTTTTTCCATAATACACTTCATTTTATTTTATTTTTATAAATAATAAATAAATAGTTGTATTAAATTAGATAATAATGCATTTTCTTTAAAATTAGGGTTTTTGCCCTAAATTTAAAATACTCAAAAATAATACATTTTTTATTTTCTTTTCTCTTTTACATAAATAATATTTTTTCATACATATACAAAACATTTTTGTGCATCTTGCATTTTTATTTAATTTTTGTACATTATTTAAATTGCAAATACTCAATTGATGTAATAATTTAGATTTAAATTCTTATCAATATCCCCATTTGAACATTTGTACCCCCCTTCCCATATTTGGTTTTGTAATAGCTTAGTAATTTTAATTTCGCACTTTATTGCTTTCTAATGATAACATGTTAGAATTAGGGTTTGTATGCGAAAAAAACGATAAAAAATAGTT